CTCTATTTTCATCTCCTCTTTTCTCTGACGCATTTTCTCGGTCGAAATGTGATAAACACGCTTTTCTCTTCCCTTGAGGAAAAGGCCACCCTCCAAGATCACGTCATACAAAGCGCTTTATCCTTCTTTTCACTGCCAGCTCCATTATACAAGGTGGCTAGTAGCTTGCCAGTTCTCTATTCCTTCCAAGGAAGTAAGATAGCCATTAGACTTTTCTGGTTGTATCGAGATCCCTACCAATACTTTTTTTTTTTCTGTTGTGAGACAGGAGTCTTGCTCTGGTCATCAAGCTGAGTGCCAGTGGGTGCCGTCTTCGACTCACTGCAATCCTCTGCCTTCCTCGGGTTCAAAAGGCCATTTCGTCCTGCCTCAGCCTCCCTGGATAGCTGGGCTATACAGGCTCCATGCACCATCACGGCCTGGGTAATGTTTTGTGTATTTCGAGTAGAGGAAGACAGGGTTTTTACCAATGCTGGCCAGCTGGGTCTCAAACCCAGAGCCTCAGGTGATCCAGCCCACCTAGCCTCCCAAAGTCTAGGATTACAGGCAGACCACCATGCCCAGCCGGGGGAGCCCCGAAGCTACTTTATTGGGAACACCTAAACCCTTAAGCGATGCTTTCGAGGTAGTGCCACTGCCCAGCTCTGCGATGTTATACTCTAGCCACCAGAGACACAGCCATGCCCGAAGAGAGAAGGCGGTCCCACGCTGGCCCAGCTCCATGAGCCTGGCCTACAGGCTTCGCTGTGCACTCTTGGAGGCAGTCTCCCATGTCCTCTGTCCAGCGCGCACGATCCCAACGACTGTAACAAGGAATAGTGTGTCCAAGCCCAAATACTCTGGCACTGATAACTGCGCTGCATTTCCCTTGTCTCCGTCGCGCCACCTTCCAGGACTAATGAGATCGTGATCTCTGCCCATTACTTGGCCAGCGCATCTAACAGTCCAGTGCAAGTCTCCCCAAAAGGTCCGCATTGTTAGTTTGCAGCGGATGGCGCGCGCGCTCATCTCCATTGTGCTCGCAGCTTCCATATTTTACGCTCTGACTCCATTTCTGGACTTTCCAAGACCTTCACTTACCGGTGCCATATAGCAGTCAACCCGCCGAAAAGTGATCTATTTCATCAGAAAAACTCCTGATATCCTTGACTTCTCTGAGAGTTTATCTTAACCTCTCCTCCTCCTTCTCCTTCTCGAGATGGACGTCACTCGTTGCCAGGCTGGATGTGGTGGGTGCGGGGGATCTCAGCTCACCGCGCCCGACCACTGGCGTCCCAGGTTCAAGCAATTCTCTGCCTCAGCGCTCCCAAAGCGGGGGATAGGCGAGGCGATGCATCATCGAGCGCCCAGCTAATTTTTGTACTTTTTGAGTAGAGACAGGTTGTCATCACGTTAGGCCAGGGTCGGCTCGATTTCGTGACTCGGTGATCCCGCACCCCTCAGCCTCCCAGAATGAGTAGCCGGCAATTTACAGATGTGAGCCAGCTGGCACCTGGCGCTGTCTTTTCTTAATGAAAACCTAGGCTTGTTTGCGCGTCGGGGCTCTGTTTTCCCTTGCGAATCGCCAGTAAGAGCTATTTTCTTCCTACAGCTCAAGAGCCAGGGAATAGAATAGATGCCCAACTTGGCCCCTTGCGGCTTCCAAAATTGGCTCTCCTCTCTTCCTTCCTTAAAAAACAGCAGCTCCTGCCAGGGCAGCCCGAGCACTTTGGAGGCCGAGGCGGGTGGGATCAAAAGGTGCAGGAGATTGAGACCATCCTGGCTACATATTTGGTGAAAACCTGTCTCTACTGAAAAATACACAAACAAAAAAAAAAAAAAAAAAATGTAGCCCCAGGTGTGGGTGGCAGGTGCATGTAATCCTAGCTAGCTTGGAAGGCTGAGGGCAGGAGAATGGCGGTGAACCCAGGAGGAGGAGCTTGCAGTAAGCTGAGATTGCACCACTGCACTGCGCGCTGGGGGCAGAGCAAGACTCTGTCTCAAAAAAAAAAAAAAAAAAAACCAAGATAAATAAAAAATAAATAAAAATAATAATAAAAAAATAAACCACAGCTCCTTAGAAGAGCATGTCATCTGGCTGCTCATTACTTCTGTTCCTGTCACCTTCCAACCTTGTAGTAACTCCACATTCGTTGAAGATTTTAACACTTGGATCAGAAATTTCCCACCATATTTCTGTCCTCATACATGGGAACTTCAACATAATGTTGTAACCTAGGTTTCCACTGTGGCTTCTTATAACTTCACATGAGCACTCTCACTAATGTCATCTTCTGCCAGACTTCATTTACTATAGATGGGCTGATGATTTCCATATTATTTCTAGCCCAAACGTCTCTTCTGAGCTCCAGGCCCATATATCCAACTGGATATTTCTACTTGGATATTTCATGGAACTTCAAATTCAGCTAGTCAAAATCTGAACTCATCTTTCTCACAAACCTGATTCTTCTGTTCTTAAAATCATGTTACATAGAATCAATGTCTACCCAGTTACCCAAGCTAGAATTTGGGGGTGGGGAGCAGTCATTCCAGACTCCTCTGTATCTCTTAGAGACCACATCCCATTAGTCACCTCCTCCTTAATCTGCACCTATAGTCCAGGAGTCCAGTGGTTTTCTGACTAAACCACTCCAGAGAGTAAACATGGTAGCTAAGACGGCAAATTCTTGAGTAAGCATGCCTGTGTTCAAATCATAGCTTCCAGTTTATACTGTGTAATTACTGGCAAGTAAATTATGTTTTCTGGGGCTCCATTTTCTTACCTGTAAAATGATACCCATAATATTGCTTACCTCTTAAAGTTATTGGGAGGATTAATTATGATATGTAAGGTGCCTAGAACATAATCAGTACTCTAACTTTTAGTGATGTTAATAACATCAATGATAATAATGCCTGAGTGAAGCCAGCAGGGGCACCCATCTGGCTGCATGAATCAAGGAAAGAGATTCAGAAGATATCCATTGCTTTAAAAAAATTAAACAATTTTTTTTTTTTTTTTTTTTAGAGACAGGGTCTCACTCTGTCATCCTGGCTGCAGTGGGTGCCCCTACTGGCTTCATTCAGGCATTATTATCATCTTATATATCATAACTAATTGTGGTTCACACAATCATAGCTCACTGTAGCTTCAAATTCTTGGGCTCAAGTAATCTTCCCACCTCAGCTTCCTGAGTAGTTGGGACTACAGGTGCACATCACCATGCCTGGTTAATTTTTCACATTTTTTTGGGTAGAGATTAGGGCTCTCACTATGTTGCCCAGGCTGGCCTTGAACTCTTGGTCTCAAGCCATCCTCCAGCCTTGGCCTCCCAAAGTCCTGGGATTATAGGTGTGAGCCACCGTGCCCAGTCTCAACTGCTTTTTAATCAGATTTCCAGCCAATTCTTCATTCAGACCCACTCCGCACCCTTGGCTTTACAGGAACCCAGTACCTCCAATTCTTAAGAGCACGGGTTTTGAGTGGCAAATTAGTTTACTCCTTACAGGCTTTCCCTCCACAGCCATTTAACTTTTTATGCTCTTCACCTGTGCTGTCTAATGTGGGCGCCAACGACCCACACTATCGTGCTCATAAAATTTGAAATATTTTTGATATCTTGGTTTAAAATACTATTAAAATAAATTTTACTTCTTTTTATTTTTTAAATGTGGCTACTGGAAAATTTTAAATTACATATGTGGCTGGCATTATGTTTCTATTGGACAGTGTTGCGTGTGTCTTACAAAATTGGCATTTCTCATCTGCTGTCATGTTTTCTATCACTGTATTTAGTCTTGTAGTTTATACACTTTATTTATTTTCATTTTGGGGCACTGTCTCGGGAAAACAAAGATAAATGCATATGTTACATCTGCCATGTTTACCTGGAAGTTCTACCTAAGCTTTTCACAATGTAGCTCCTGCTTATATTTGTGCACTTCGTGTCCTGTCACTACTCTTTTGCCCTGCCAAAATGAATTACCAATAGCTTTCTGAACACACCAGGAAGCTTCCAGCTTTGCCTTTATTTTTTTGGCCTCCTTTTCCTGGACTACCTTTCTAACCCCTCCCACCTGTCTGCCTAGTAAGTTACTCATTTTTCAACAACGAACTCAATTTCACCTTCTCAAAGGAGCTTTTCTTGACTTTTCCTCGTACCAGTTGAGCAGACTGCTAGGGGGTCCAGAATATTTCCTGCATTTTTTTGTTTATATCATTATCTGCCCTACAAAGGGAATCCGTTTTATTTATCAGACCTGTAGTGCCAAGTTGAGGGTCTAATACATAGTAAAAACTAAAATAATGCTAAATGAACAAATGAAGACAGTAACAAAGAACGGCGGGATTATAGAGGAAGGAGAGGCTGACTGAAAAAGTTTCGAGAGAGCAGTATTTTTAAGCTGTTCTTCAGAGAAGTTTTTGACAAGTGGAGATGGTGTCAGGAATTTTCCAGGCAATGGGAACAGGACGAGCAAAGCTTACCTGAAGACCAGAAATATGCTAAAGAAATAGTAAATCATCCAGTTTGGAAGGAGCATTGGTAAGACCAGATCATGCAGGGCGTTGAGGTTATAGAAAGGACTTTGACTATTGTTCTGAAGATAATGGAGAGTTAAAAGGTTGTAAGCTGGAGAGACAGAGAAATAGTCTTCTGTTTTAGCATTATCACTTGTGGCTGCAGGTGGATAATGAAAGAGGGGTATGAGTGGAAGCTGGAAGACAGTGAATTCATGGAGATGAGGAGAAACTCGATGCTGTGGTTTACGGGTGGGTTGGGGGCAGTGGTGGTAAGTGGGGATAGAGATCCGGGCACGATGTGTTGGAGGTAGAATGCACAGGACTCAGTAACAGATGAACATGGGGAGTAAGGGAGGAGTTTTTAGTTAGTATGAATAGGAAGGCGAGGGTACCCTTTACAGCGACGGGTAACCACGTCTGAGGAGCAGGTCAGCTCGACGCTGGAGATGAAGGTGCAGGCGCCTCGCACACCTTGTCCCTCGCGCGACGCCGTCCGCGCCGCCCGCGGTTTGATCGGGAGCGGCTGCCTGCGCCGCGGTTCTGGTTCCGGTTCCGGTTCCGGTTGGCGTTTGCACCTGCGACTGCCGTGAGCAGTCATGGCGTACTCCACAGTGCAGAGAGTTGTTCTGGCTTCTGGGCTTGTCCTGGCTCTGTCGCTGCTGCTGCCCAAGGCCTTCCTGTCCCGCGGGAAGCGGCAGGAGCCGCCGCCGACACCTGAAGGTAAGAGCAGGCCAGCTCTCTCTAAGCTTCCTGGCGCCGAAGAGTACGGAGAACGCTGCTCGCGGGAGGGGTGACTCTCAGAGTCTGCAGCCTTCACCGAAATATCCACCAAACTGACAGGAGAGGGCGGACGAGACGGCGTTGAAGGGCCAGTCCCCACGGTTCCATTGTTATCAGCGGGGGGCGGCCCAGATGGTTCTGCTGCTGGAAGGGCCAGGAATGTATGCGTGCATGCCTGGGCATCCTCTAGGTGGCCTTGCATACTCCCGTTTACGCGCAGCCACTTCTCTCTTACCCCACTGATTTAACTCATCTTGTCACCATTTGTACACGTGCTTTGAGCCAAGGGTTCCCAGTTGGGTTTCCCTCTTTAGGTTTTCCGTGTACTTTGTGACGCGCCGCTTCGTACGAAATCAAGGCAAATGCAATTGGTACAGCAAACCTTAATTCGTTATGTTTTTTTCAACTTGGTGCTGGGCTCTCACTGCTTCAGGGTCTTCTTTAAAAATATATCTTGAAGATTTTAATAACCCTAGTTTCAGTTGCTGAGGTGTGGTTATGAACGAATTATTACGTTCCCCTTATTGAAGCAGTATTTATCTGTTAATTGTTCGTTGTTGGCATGATGTATGTGGCGTTTAAAAATTCATCCTCTTAGCTGCACTGGGGCCTTTTACAGAATGAGTGTAAAGGCATGGTGCTGATGGCTGGGAGAAGGAACCAGAACAATTCTCTACAGGTCATGAAGTTCTACTGGTAACTTTCTCCTGTAAATTATCCTTGTAACATCTTTGAGACATGATTTTATGGTGTCTGAACTCTTCCAGTGATGTTTAAACTGTTGATTGCTGGACAGCTCCTTTTGAACTGTAATCCACTTCTCTCTGCTTAATACACATTGGCTGTAGTTTCATTCTCTTGAGCATCATACACGCTATAAATGCAAAGCACCAAGCTTCAGGGGTGGAGGGCAGATTGAACACATAATTCTGTTTATAGAATTTGCCTGATAATCTTTGTGCTTGTAAGACTATCCACCTGGAAGAGACTTCTAAAACATATTTGCATATTTGTTCTTTTTTTT